CGTTCACGTGCTGTTTTTGTTAGACAGCTATTTGATGTACGGCTTGGTACTTTAAAATTTTAATAAGACCATGACTGTGAAACGCCATGAACAATACTATTCGCGCTAAAACATTTTACCTGAGTAAAAACTCGATAACGATTAGTCTCCAGATTTAATTAACTAAATGATCATAGAAAGTGTGCGCTCGCCTGTGATTGCCTTGTACTGTCATACACCTTGTTCTTATTTGTGTTTTTCAGGCTATAAAAGATGCTTTAAATATGCTTTTCGAACAACATCCACCTCTGCTCCGAGCTCTTCTCGACACTGGTGATGCTATGCTGGTACGTTGTCTGTGTGCACCTTAGTTGAATTAGCAAGGAATAGGTATAGCATATGTTGAAGGGATTTGGGCGCTAATGCTAATAACCCGTTGAAAAAGGAGCATCCAAGGGACTTCTTGCGTGGAACTAGATTTACCGTAATGCAAATAGGAATCGCACAAACTTTGAAAATGGGGAGCTCCGGATGAACCAGACTGAAGGATGATAATCGTATTTGGGTGACGGCAATCTCCGTTCTGCACAAGGAATTCTCTAAATGCGCCCGGGGTTGTCAGCACCAGAATTTGTTTATATCTCTCAGATCGAAACTCCGAGCTTCGCGTTAAGAGCTCTAACTCCTCCTCAGTTGCTCATAACGTGCATAATACACAATAATACATACATACGATTTTGAATACCTCGAAAATGGAAGAGCTTTGGGACCGAAACGTCCGTAAAGCTGAGAGTATCTTTTCAATAATTAACCATGAAATCCTATGCACCATTGATCTCTGGAGTAATGTTATCTTACTTTGATGGGTTTAATTGTGTATGTGATACGTATCTTTGTACGTTGCAGGTGTATTGTGCACGGTTTTGCTCGATGGAAACCGAGTTATCGATTGGAATGCGCGAGTCAGACTTGCGGGCATGGCTGTACACAGTGGACATTTCAAGCAAACAAGTGAGTAGTTGTTCGTTTGCTAAGATTCCTGGATTCGTATGGTCAATAATCCCTCCAATAGTTGGTCTAATCTACATTTGACAGAAAGTTCTTGAGAATAATATTTGTTTGGAACCCCATAGAATATGTAACGTACGCAAAAAATTAATGTGTCAGCCTTCACTTGATCTTGTGTGATCCCTGGAATATCTCGGATGTTTTAAACTCCGTAATGAAAAAGCTTCTTCTGACCTTCTGAGGATGTACATCATTTAATGAATCACACGACTTTGTAGCTGCTGGAGCTATGCACACGGCCAATGGCATTTCGTCCGTCATATCTTGGTGGAAATCGTTTGG